AGAGCTCGACGCAGAAGCAATGGCGGATATAGCACGCCAGGTCCAAGGATTCCAAAGGCATGATGACTCATGGGCGGGACGCTTTAGATGAGTTCAGGTCATACCTGAGGTGCTCCATCTGACGCTTCTGACGCTCCTCAGCAAGCTCGAGCTCGAGTTCATAAGTGCGCTGTCGCTTCTTCTTCAGCTCCGTCTCCTGAACCTGGGTCCTGGTATCCAAAGCTGCCTTCTCGGCCCTCAAGCGAGTGTTGTAGCGCATCTGGGCCTGGGCTGTAGGCAGATGGCTCACGCATGTTCAAGGTTTTTTGGATGTTTTTGGATCATTGAATATATTTAATAATGATCTATAATGATGATCGGGAGAAAAGGCAAAGGTGCGCTAATATGTCAAGGGGCCTCCAGCTCTCCCTGAGATCCCTCCAGCTCAAACTTCAGCTGCGAGTTCGCCTGCCGCAGCTTGGTATCCGCACCCTGCCTGGCCAAGTGAACCGCATCCGCGTGCCGGAGATCCTTCCGGAGTGTAGACGCCTCCACATCAGCCAGCCGCATGCCACGACGATCATAGTCGACCCGCAGCTCCTGGAGCAACTTCTGATTGTGAGTAAGAAGTCGGAACGCTTTGCTCCTGTCAAAGGCCTTCTTCTCGGCGCCCTCCAGCCCATCGCTCTGCCGCTGAAGCTCCCTCACTGGAGGCCACTCTTCTCTCGAAGGTTCCCTGGCAGTCTTGCTGGCTCTCCGGTGCTCGGCCCACTCGCGATTGCTCTTGGGTGCCATCTTTCACCAAATGATGCGCAAAGCCAAAAAAAGCAATGGGGCAACAAAATGTGGTGAACGTCAATCGCTGCCGAAATCTGCCTGGCGTGTCGCGGATCCTCAACACGGCAAAGCAAAAGAAAGTCCAATGATGTCCAACGATGCGGAGCGCCACGACGCGATCAAGAAATATCGAGAAGCGTACTGTACGGCTGGCAACGTGAAGAAAAAAACTCGACGCTGTGCCAGGATGTGCCAGGAGGAATCACCGGTGGATATGGCAGACGCGCACAAGCCGAGTCCCTGGAAACTACACAAGTGAAGTAGATACCCAGACCTTTTTACGGTTGGATGATGTTGGATGGTTTGGGGAATTTTGGGGATGCTTCCGAGTTTTCATATAACAGCCGCATCCCTGGATCAACAAACCCGAACCTTTGGGATGTTTTGGGGATTTGTGGGATGATGTGGGATGTTTCCTAGCTCCACATCCTTTGATCAAGATACCCGAACCATCCCGAACCTTTCCAAGCTCTGAGCAGAAACGCGAATGCCAGCATGCGTTGGCTCAAGCTGTCAAACTCCTGCAACCTTCATGGCAGACTGATGCAGACCGCTGAGGGATGCTGAGGGCCAAGCGCAGACGGCAGATCGGAAATCTCGGAATCGATCGGCGACATCCCCTGCCACATACTGAGAGACATCTACTCTTGCATCTAGCATGTCTGAAATCGTGTAATCATGTCTGATCATGTCTGCACATGTCTGCATGTCAGCGGCTACATGCTGTTGGCTCACTGAACCCTGGATACCCTCTAAGTCTTAGTCCGACGCCACCTTCCATACCTGTCTCCTCCTCTTCGGAGGGCAAAGGGTTGGGCGGGGTATGGCGGGGTGCTACCACTCTCCGAGTGCCTTCTCTACTTGGCACGTTTCATCTAGTTACGGGGCCCCTGCGCACTCGACTCGCACTCCCTTGCACCCGCCTCTAGACCTGTCTCCTCCTGTTCGGAGGGAACCAACACTCCTTTACGGAGGCATCTCCTTTCGGAGGCTTCATCTGAAGCTCCTCCTCTACGGAGGGCCTTTCCTCCTGTTCGGAGGGTCTCCTTCCTTTCCGGATGGTCACCTCCTATTCGGAGGGCGCTCGCTCCCGTACGGAGCTCGGTTCGCAGGCGATGCCTGGACGGTCCGCGAAACCTGACACCTCCCACACGGAGAGCGGCAAGATATCCTGAATGCAACACCTCCTTCACGGAGGGCGGCACTTCCGCTGCCCTTAACCCAAGATAAAACCCTGATATTGGCAGAACATGGCAGAACCATGCAGAACCCAACTTTGAGCCGCGTGCCTTCATGACCTCCAAGCGCTTGCCAGCGCATCCACATCCACGAAAATCCTGCCGGACCAAGGCAAACCAACCAGCGCCGCAAGAATTGGGCACCTGGTGCCTTGAAGAGCTTCAAGAGAAAGAGCACCGCACCATACAACGCCTCAATGCAGGGGGTCCATAAAGTTTATGAAGTTTGAGTATTTTCGTTTGCTCCAGTCTGAGGGCAAGGCGGGATGAAGCTTCATGGGCAGCACTTTCTTTTTTGATGCAGTTTGATCGAATCACAGCTTGCGGGGAACGGCGAGCAAGATAGCTAAACGACCAGGAATGTGAAATGTTACCGAGACATGGGGGGAGGTATTACTGGTAACTTTTCAGCCCCCCAGAAATGTTTCCAAAAATCCCCGGTAACATACCTACCGCCCCCCCTCGGAAACATTAAATAAGGAAGGGCCAT